AATGTATTTATCAGAATGTTCTTTTTAATTAGGGTGAAGACTTCTTACATTTGCAAGTAAAATTCAAAACCCATGAGGTTATTGGTATTTGAAAATTACAAAGAAAAATAAATGTAGTTCATTCAAGATGACGGCGTTTGCTCACTACATGAGTAGTGTTTCTGTAATTTTAGTGGAAGTGTGTGCCATGCATAACCAACTAATCTGTAATTAGAAGGGGACCTTACCACTACATCTTCTATTGTTTAAGCGAATTAATTTTAGATACTTAAAGTCTCTTTCAAAGCTTTTCTTTTTTAAGAGATGTAAAATCAGTACACCTATATTTTGGGTGTTTTCTAGTTTGAGTGTCTAACTGGGGGAAAAACAAGGAAGAAGAAGGTAATAAAATGAGAAGACAAAAGTATTTCTTCAGACTTGCATGTAGTAGTATCTCTTTGACCCTTTTGGAATATGAGGAACATGTTGAAATAGCAAGAAATAGCAATTAAAAAAATATTCCTTTTTGCCCTGCAATCAAATCAAATCATTGTCTTTGGAAAGATGCATTTGCTAGTAAAACAATAGGGTAGGAATAGGTCTGTTAATTAGCTGAAATGATGCAAATGATTGATAGCCTGGAGGAAGAGCTAGAGAATCTTGATGCATAACTCTGATGGGTATAGGCATGGGAATTCTAAATCCTTCAAAGTTAGAAGCAAAGCCTCTCTAGGACCAATGATTCTTCTAGGAATTTTGAGTAGCACGGTGCGTAGCATGCCAACATTCATTTGTAACCTCCTACAAATGAAAAATCTTTGATGATAGGAAAAGTATGTTTAGAAAAAGGAGATGGGAGAGCAAGAAACAATACTCTGAACAAAAATCTCAGAAGAGAGAAGTAGCGAGAGAGTCAGCTCCCGTAATGCTGATTTGTTTGGCTAATGTCCAGTTTCCAGTTGGGGAGATGGTGGGTAAAATGGTACTGACCCAGGTGTAGTGAGAATGGAACACTCCTCAAAGAAGTGCTCCTATGACCACACGGAGGCTAATTTGAGAAATTAAAATAATTTATTGTGAGACTCCTAAGTTGCTCTTAAATGCTGCCTGCTAGTGGGGCCAAGTAAGCAGAACTATTTTCCTCCCATCACCATACTCATGCAACCCACTCACAACCCAACAATTCTGACTTCCAGCCTCGGCCTCAGGGGCTCGGAAGTAGGTTACACGGATTGTATAATGCTACCTTGGAGTTGTTGAGAAAAGAACGTGTGCATGACTGAGTAATGCAGTTCACTCTACCCTTTTACAGGTGCTCTAATAAATTTTTATTCTGAATGAAATTGTGCACGGAGTGAATTGATAGCGACACAGGGAGGGATGCAGATAGCAGTAATCCTTCCTTCTCTCCCACATAGATGCCAATATCTGTGGGTGAAAAAGAGTGACAACTAGAAACAAAGAGAACTTTTGTATTTGCATCAGTAGAGAGCAGTGAAAATGAGTTTTAGAATCTGCTGAACCACTTTACCCCATAACTTCTCATCATAGAACATTAAGTCCCTCCAAAGCTGCCCCCATTAGTTGATTTTTTTAATATTTAAGGAGAATTATAATAAAAGCAGTTTTATATAAGATTTATCTATCCAAATCTTTGCTAACAATACAAAATTTTCTGAATATTCAACTTGCCATGTATCCTAAAATACTTGAAAAATAATGAGGGCAAATGAAAGTCATTGAAAACATGAGAGTTCACACAATTAGATTTGCTTCTATTAATTTACTAACCAAAAAAAAATGTGAAAATCTTCAGTTTTATTCTGGAGAAAGAAAACATAAAGAAGGATAATTGAAGGCAAGGAGGGAGGGAGGGAAGAAAAGAAAAAGAGGGAAGGACAGAAGGAAGAAACCAAGGAACAGGCATTTATTGAGCACCCACTATGGTTCAGAATGATGTGAGAGACTTTTATTAAGCATTCTCTCTCTTATGTTCATGTAATCCCTGCAGTGACTCTATGGACCCCATTTTACTTTTGGAGGAGAAAGCAATAAATTCAGTCATACTATATTTGACACTTATAACGAGACATAGATGCTAGGAAGGCAAAATAAATCCTCCCACAAAAATTGGCACAGATATTGCTCTATAGGAATTTTCTTTCAAAGGCTTGGTTTTGATCCATAACCATTACATTTCCTGGCACTAGATAGGGGCCTGGCCCTGGAGAGGGGAAGCTGTGTGGATTGGCCCTTGTCCATAGTAAATGATGAGTGGTCTTTGCAGTTAAGTGCAGGATTCTGTCTGCTTTGGGAACATTACCTGGGTTCATATATAGTGCCGTTACAAGGAGCAAGCCTGAGTTAGACTGAGTTAGACTGTAAAGAAAAGAAAAAAGAAAAGAAAAGAAAGGAAAAGAAAAGAAGAAAAGAAGAGAAGAGAAAAAAGAAAAGAGGAAAGGAAAGGAAAAAGAAAAAAAGAAAAGAAAAGAAAGAAGAAGAGTCTGGCATCTTTTAACCTTTTAACCCTGGTCTGGAGTGGTTCTAGAAGAGTTAGCAATAGAAAGAAAAATTGGGGCCATTTGTACATAACTATAGGAGAAACTTTATGATGATTTCTGAACATTTACAGTGCTTAAAGACAGGATGAATCATGGATGGTCATAGCACCTCTTTTCCAGCTAGCCTGAAAGAAGTATGCTTTTTTTCTATAATTTCCTTGGTTCGTTTCCAACTATCTCTTGAGGTCTTAAACCACTCATTCCACTCTTCCTAAGAAGTCCTAGTGTTAACTACCTGCTAGTGAGCAAGATAGTTTCAGCTCACAGTTAATTACATATGGTTTTAAAGCAGTCTACCAGTCTAAAAATAAGCACTGTCTGCATTTCCTGTGAATAATTATTAGATGAACTTAAAAGATTACTAGGTAATCAAGATTAATGACAGAGTCTCCAAAACAAACAGAAAACAAAATCATGTATATTCTTTACTATCTTCATTTTGTTAGGTCTTCACTGACATATTTATTTTGGGCAACTAGCATTGGTAATGGCAGGTACATGTGGTCCCTGGCTCATTGGTGTGGGAGGTAGTCAAAGGAAGGAAGGATGACAGAGAAGATGGAAAATGGGATTAGAAAAAGAGCATGGCTAAGTGGATAAAATGAGACATGATAACATCTCAAGTGGCTAAATCTGAAATTACTTCTTTTTCTTGACTGGGTTAGTCATAGTATTGGGAGTGTCAAGAAGTAGGTAAAAATGACCAAAGTGTCTGTGGGAAATAGTTTAAGAGAAAAATAACAATGTAGATCTCAATATTTTTAGGCTGTTTTTGAAGGTGGAGCCCTCATATAGCACTGACATTTTTTTATCCTTATTAGTCTGTTATAATTCATTGATAGCTTGCAGCTCAAACTATGTTTGGAACAGTTTACCACTTGGATATGCATGTTCAGAACAGTCTGATAAAAATAAAATTAATCTTCAATGTTTATCTTATATTTGGGACATGAAATATGCAGCCATTTTCTGCAACTACAAAATGGGGCTTGCTGCCTGGTTATGTTGGCTTCATTCCACAGCACCAACATCCAAGCAGCTATAGACCCTGGGGGCACTTTGCTCATAATTAGCATAAGCCACTACCTGGTAAATTAACACATTTCGGTCATGGCCTAGAAACCTGAAGATATAGACTTTTAATAGACATGATTATCTTAGATGATGGTTTAAACATTTTAAACATGCTTTTCTACCCACTAATAAATGTCTATGTCTTTCTTTCTTTTTTTTTAAGTACGCTCTGCACTCAACTTGAACTAATGACCCCAACATTAAGAGTCGTCTGCTCCAATGACCCAGCCAGCCTGGCACCCTATATGACTTTCTTAATAAAAATTATTTTTAGTAGAAGTCAGACCAATATCTTTTAAAGCAAAAAATAGGGAAAATGTTTAAAATTTTCAAACTATCTTGCATGCCATATGTCATTTAATCTTTATAACAACCCTGTAAGTATCTTCCATTTTAACATAAATAAACTAAATCTCAGAAATTTTAGATGACTTATAACAAAGTTACCAATGTGGTATTTTAAATTTCATCTTCAAACCCTAAATACGCATACCCTAAAAGCTAGAAATCTATTTCAGTCACAGCTTAATGTGATCAAGGATATCCTTGCAAAATGAGCAAAACCTTTTCTTCAGTGCTCTGTATTCAGCAGCCTAAACAGATTTGAATATATGGTCCATTAGAAGAAAATGAGAGATAAGTTTTAACATGTGGCTCCCAGGATAACTTTGTTGTTTTTACATTTTCCTTGATGAAGTAAAATAATGAAGATATTTTTATGATTTAGTTTGTCTTTTTTTGCTGATACATCAGTCCCAGATCAACTGCCAACTCAGGTTTCTTATTAATACAATAATCCCATTTGGCATGGGCTTTAACTCTGAATATAAAATTGAAACTGTAGTCCAACACTGTTTCAGGACTTTAATTCATAGAAACATGTATTCTGGTTGCAACAGAAAAGGAGTAATTCTGTTGCAGTAGAATTTACCACGGTTGTGTAGATATATGGCCATACAGTTGAATTTCATATTACCACTCTTAGTCACAGAAAAAAATCCATCTTTAGATTAGATAGTTAAAAAAAATGCTTACATATCATGTATGTATTTAATTTTGCTGTCTGATTTCAGAAAGGGGGAAAAAAGCCTTTGGACAATACTTACTTTTTGACTGTGCTAGTCCTTCTTAAGCAGATTGTTAATCATCTCTCTTCTTTTAAGGGCAGTGTTCCTATGGTTTGTTTATGTCATGGCTCTTAATAAAATGATAATGTGTTTTCAAAAAGCAAATGGATTTGGAACTCTTTCTTGTTATGTTTATATTAGGCTTTATTTTAAAGGCAAGTGGGACTGCTTCAAATAAAACAACTCCAAGCTTCCAAGAAACAGTTAAGAAGGCAGAGACAAGCAGAAATACCCCTTCACTAACACTCACACGGTTGCCATGGACCTGCATAAGCAGTGGGAGAACACAGAGACTAACTGGCACAAGGAAAAGATGGAGTTACTGGACCAATTTGACAATGAAAGGAAGGAATGGGAGAGTCAATGGAAAATCATGCAGAAGAAGATAGAAGAGGTACAAGTTGATTTGTTTTGAATATATTGAAGCTTAAAGCTCAGAATGAAAATTCTGTTTCAAATTTGTGTTGTATTGGAAACTATTTCTTTTTTCCTTATTCCGCCTAAGAGATGCATGTCTCAGTGATATTTGCTAGGTCAAAAATAGCAGAACCTTATCCAGTGGTATCCAAAGGACTATGCTTTTTTATAGCCCTGCATGAAAATTAAGGACTTAAAATGTCAATCTAAAGTATATCAATTTATTATTTTCTGACTGAAGTGCCTTGGTATCAAAAGTGAAGTATGTATTTTGCATGAGTTTTCAAACACAGGGTGCAGGAGGAAAATCTAAGAAAGGCATAATTGGTGGAACATATATTACAAATTGGGCATTAAAATACAGATCTTTCTTGAGATGATTTATGGATGATATCTACTAAAGGAAATTACATATTAGATAAGTCAGTATAGTCAAAAGGAGTGCCATATATCAAACAGAAAATGGCAGCGGGCGTGATATTTAATCTGGCAAAATGTGCCAGATTTATTGGCACATTTGTGAGGAAAGGGTTATGAAAAACGACGTGCTGTGACTCTGATACAAACAGCCATTTTATCCCCATTAACCATCCCTCGGCTTGTTGGCCCTGGAATATTTCCTCTAAGTGTTGACATTGATGTATTTTTAAGCTTGTTTCAACTGAAAATTATTTATACTTACCTTGCTTTCTTCTAGTGACATCCATGGTATTATATGGTTTGTGCACATTGCCTAAGTGATTATTTTTAACAGACACTTTGGCCTTTATTCACAAGCAATCACAGCTGGTGCTTTATGTGTTTATAGCACAAATATTTTTCTCATTAACAGCCACGTAATTGGTTGTGAATAAGATATAAATTGGCACACTACAAGGAAAAATTAAAAGGGGTAGCTATTAAACTATTTCTCTAACATAGAACTGAGAAGGCAGGTATGTAGTACATGATTATATTAAAAGGAGACTCCACTGCTCATACCTCTATAGTTTAGAAAATGTGTTTTGCTTACTCTCTTAACTCGTTTACCCAAAGACTGAGATTGCATCAACAAGGAGATGTCTAAGTCAAATAAGAATCCAAAATTCCAAACAGAAACCTGAAGTCATGGGTCATTAGTTCCCAAAGGGTTGGAAAGTCAGTTAGTAACACTCAGATAAGTCTAGCATCAAAGCAAAAAAATTTAAAGGAGTCAGGATTAGTCTAGCCTATTGTTTAAGCCATGTAGCTAAAATAATCTGCTGTCTGGTTAAATATTTTAAGGTCAAATAATTATTCTGAAAACTCTGTAAATTCTATCTATGGTAAATATTACCCTTTTGATTAGCAGGCATTAAACATATTTTAAAAATAGGATGATGGTTTGTAGAAATACTATTCCTTTCTGCATCAAGGAGATAGAAGGCTGTAATATTTTTTTCTTCATCTTGGATAGTAACTGTAAGCTATTTATGTCTTGCAGCGTGAAATATATAGCTCCATTACTGAGAATATGTTTGGATAATGTGCTTACCCCAGAATACTGATAGACAATGCTTTCTAATACCTGAATACTAACATTGTGCTCCCCTTATCATTCTAATATATATTTTTCTACTTCCAACTTTGTAGCCTATGAGAATGTACTTTTAATACAACCATCTTGGAGTACCTGGGTGGCTCTGTCGGTTGGGCAGTCAGCTCTTGATCTCAGCGCAGGTCTTGATCTCAGGGTCATGAGTTTGAGCCCCATGGGACTCTGTGCTAGGAGTGCAGCCTACTCAAAAATATATATACTCATCTTACAGGTTACAAATGGGGGTAAAATAATTTTGATGAAGACAGGAGGAAAGTATTTTCACATGTCACAGAGAATCAAGACATTTTTTAAAACTAAACAACACTTGAAAAAATTATATAACATGCCACAAGCATAACAGACTGTATTTGTTTAGCATATATCACTAGGTTCTGTGTATTAATTCAGACACAAGTTATTAAGCCAAGTACTAGAGAATTTTAGATTCCCTAATGTGCCCATGTAACCATAGTGATTCCAAGTGATATCTTCCAGTGAGAGGACCCAGTGTTGTGTATTAAGATGCTAATGATTCTTTGCTCAGCCACTATCCACAATCATTGCATTTGCTATTGCAGAACCAACATGTACATACTTGGATCATTTGAAACCTGGACTAATCCACATAGAAGCCCTAAATAGAGTTCTTATATACCTGGGAATTTTTTTTTTTAATCATGTTGCAATTTTTCCTATTTGTTGCCTTGTTTCAAATAATCAGATAACCATTGACAATTTTTTGGGTATGAAATAAGACAGATTTCCTTATACAAAATAAATTTGTTTTTCATCAATAGCATGATATTATTTGCTTCTCCATACCTCACTTAAATCTCAAGAGAATTTAAGGTGGGATATAAAATGTTATATAAGGTAAAGTATTTCAAAATAAAAAAAAAGAGATGAAGACAGGAGGATTTTATGTGAAATGCATGCAGCTAGCCTTTCTAGTAACTAACAGAAAAATTGTCAGAAACATATTTCCCAATATTCAGAACAAGCAAACCTATTTCCCAGAAATAGCACTTTTGTTCCTGATTTTGAAACTAAAGCAATTTTGTTTTTCACCCATAGCTCCTCAAAAAAAAAGAACAATGTCACCAATATCACGATAAGCATCCTTAGATTCAACAACTAAGGATTCCCAACTTTTGTGGGCTGCTTCCTATGATATTTCTCAAGATCAGCCCAAATCATAATGCTCACAATAGCTCAGAACAAGTAAGTTTATGAGGGCTAAAACAGTTGAATCATGGCTGTAATTTGATGTTATCCTGAGATTATCCAATGATAGATATATAAGTATCCGTGGAAATAAATATATTGTATATCCTTCAGACACCAATTATGTTTAGTGCTTCCTTCATCTGAGATTTGGGTAAATATTGAGCAGCAATAAATCTTTTGTTATACTCCTTGACTAAAAGATGTCTGTAGATATAGGTTGTGGCTGTAAAATGTAGTCATTTTCTTCAATAGTTATCTGACAGAAGCCTTTGAAATTTGCCAAGCTTTCCCACAACTCAAGCCTGAGGAGAAAGCCACTTCTTCTATTTAGGGGTAAGCCGAGTGCATGCCTGCAGATTAAACTAAACTTTCATCAAGAAATAATTTGGGATGGGGGCACCTGGATGACTCAGTCGGTTGAGTGTCCGACTTTGGCTCAGGTCATGATCTCACGGTTCATGAGTCCAAGCCCCACGTCAGGCACCCTGCTGTCAACATAGAGCCCACTTCGGATCCTGTGACCCCTCTCTCTCTCTGCTCCTGCCCTGCTAGCACTCTCTCTCTCTCAAAAATAAAGAAACATTAAAAAAAGAAAGAAAGAAAAAAAAAGAACAAATTTGGGATCCACTCTAACATAGACTGAAAGATAATAAAGCCTTAGAATTCTAATATCACATAGCACAGGGTCACATTTATTTTAATCAAGGTAAGAAATCTTTTTTGAATGTGTATAGGCCTGCCATTAAATAAATCTTAGTAATACCTAGTGTTATGCCCAGAATTCGTGATCCCCAAAGACCACCGGGGAGCCGAGTCCGATGCAAAAGCAAAGAGCCTTTATTCGAGCTAGCTCGAGCTCAATCCCCTACCTGCAAGGACACAGTGGTGAGATACCAGAGAGAGAGAGAGAGAGTTTCAAAAGGACAAAGGTTTTATTGGGGCCTAGGGGCAGTTGGTGAGGTAATGGCTGTGGCCTCAGCCGATTGGCTGGGGAAGGGTCAGAGTCCTGTTAAGCAGGTGAGCGGGAGGTTACTCAAGGGGAGGAGGCGTGGTCAAGGTGAAGGACACAGAACAGGATGGAGTCGGCGTAGGCCCGCCCTTTCACCTAGTAAATACCTGAGTAACACCAACATAACTTCCAAAGGAAACATCTTTTGATTTCACAATATCTACTTAGGCAATGAAATGAACTGACATACTATATGATATTGTCAACTATTTAGACACTGGAATGTTGGCATACAAGTGCAATCATGCATTTTTTTAAGCATTAATATCAGTTGAACTCTTGCTTTTCTCCAAAAAAAGTTAGAAAGCATGACTTGTATGCTCTCTCTCCAAAATAAATAAACATTAAAAAGAAAAAAGAAAAAAGAAATACTACTCCTGAGATCATGATTACACTATGTGTTAACTTACTTGGATTTAAATAAAATTTAAAAATTTTAAAAAAAGGAAAAAAAGGGAAATAATGTGGGATCCACTCTAACATAGATTAATAGATGATCAAAGCCTTAGAATTCTAATATCACATAGAACAGGGTCACATTTGTTTTAATCAGGATGAGAAATCCTTTTTGAATGTGTATAGGGTTGCTATTAAAAAAAATCTCAGTAATTCCTAGTAATACTTCAGTAGCATCAACACAACTTGCAAAGGAAACTTCTTTTGATTTCATGATATCCACATGATATTGTCAACTATTTGGCATACAAGTGGAATCATGTATTTTTAAAACATCACTTTAATATCAGTTAAACTCTTGCTTTTCTCTGAAAGCAGTTAGAGAGCATGACCAGTAATTGATTCAGGACATTTCAACTTGGTAACAGTGCTTCTACATCATCATGATGTACCTCTATATACATTTATATAGATACAAGTTGTTTGTTTTTAATTTTTGAAGAGTTGATTTCTACACAAAGATACAAAAATTACCATCCATACCTTGACCTACTAAAATTAGTCTTTATGGTTCATCCAAGTTGTTCTGGCTAATCACATTTGAGAAGCACTACTCAGAGGCATGAACATTAATACCCCAGAGCAGTATATCATGAAATGGCAAAGAGAACTCAGAATGGTGTGCTTAGTATCAAAAAAAAATTGACAAAGTAAACTAGGGGGATAAAAAGTTTTATCTTTGTTTTCCTTACAGCTTTGCCATGAAGTAAAGCTTCGGAGGAAAATCAACATGAATGAACGTGCTAAGATCCTTGATCATGATCGTGAAAAAGCGATTCAAGATAAAGTGGTGGAATCTTCTCCAAATTACCCCAATTCAGGACAATGCGAATTTACGGGGATGAATCACGGGGATGATCTGGAAAAAGAAAATAAAACAGAGCAGAGCTTACTCCGTGAAGGAAATCAAATGTGTAAGGAACAAAAAACAACAAAAAAGTCAAAAGTAGGGATTATGGATCCTTTGGCCACAGATAACCAAAAACAAGGTGGGGTGTGCCCTGGCCTGAGGCCTTCCAGGGTAGAGGACAGGAGCTGTTCTGGCGCCCTCAACACAGTAAGTCGGACTGTGATTAGCCTAGAACTGTTTCTGAAGAAATATTTACATTTCAAAGTGCTAACATACTATTGCTTATATGTATAAAGGCTCTGGAAGAACTTGCGAAAGTTAGTGAAGAATTATACAGCTTTCAAGAGGAAATCCGAAAGCAGTCTAACCACAGAAGGTATGCTGGTACATCTATGATTATCTCATATCAGAAAATCAAGAAAAATATTGTTTTCAGTTAAGGAATCCCAACTGCCTTTTCCTTACACTTTGTTAAGTGAGAATTAACAATGAGTTATTAAAGTCTGTTATTTTAGATAGGAAATAAAAACCTTAATTGAATATATCTCTGTTTTTGATTTCTAAAAAAATTTTTTTTCAACGTTTATTTATTTTTTTGGGACAGAGAGAGACAGAGCATGAACGGGGGAGGGGCAGAGAGAGAGGGAGACACAGAATCAGAAACAGGCTCCAGGCTCTGAGCCATCAGCCCAGAGCCTGACGCGGGGCTCGAACCCACGGACCGCGAGATCGTGACCTGGCTGAAGTCGGACGCTTCACCGACTGCGCCACCCAGGCGCCCCAGTTTTTGATTTTTAAACCAAATCTTCTCATTCTTTGTAATTTGTTAAGAATATTGTACTCTTTTGGTATTTGGTTAAGATATACTATGCATAATACATTAACAACTATATTCTAATGTAGTTCTTTTTCATTTTGAGTGTTTGGCCAGTGGAAGAGCCTATAGCTGGGCTAATCCAGTTAAATACACCTGTAAAACATGTCAGACTTAACAATGTGGAATTTTAATTATATAATGATGTTCTACTGCAGTCTTTTGTACCTAAGAGTCGTTTATTTCCCTACATTTATTTGGTATATAATGGAAGCATACATAATTCTCAACACAACATATTGTAAATATGTGTACACACACATATAATGATATGTTAAAAAGCCGTTTCAATTTAGAAGCACCTATATAATTGTAAGTTTTCACCAAATTGAAAAATAAATTGGTATGCTCTACAAGGTAAGTAAAGATAGACTGTTCTAGGATCAATATTTATCTCATAGTGAGGGAATGTGCTTTTCTTAAAAAGCAACAGCAATGTATACCCATATTTTTCTTTAGCTGTTAAGAAGCTCAGAAAGAGGGGCGCCTGGGTGGCTCAGTCAGTTAAGCGTCCGACTTCAGCTCAAGTCACGATCTTGCGGTCCGTGAGTTCGAGCTCTGCATCGGGCTCTGGGCTGATGGCTCAGAGCCTGGAGCCTGCTTCCGATTCTGTGTCTCCCTCTCTCTCTGCCCCTCCCCCATTCATGCTCTCTCTCTGTCTCAAAAATAAATAAAACGTTAAAAAAAAAAAAAA